CTGGCTGCCCAGTTGCAGAGCTGTAGTTGTGCATCTCCACCAGCCTGGAAGGCTTCTTAGATTCTTGATCTGACGACGTACCCAAGAATCCCTTCGGGTTTAGGGTCTAGGGTTTACCATGAACAGAGTCAAGCCCATGCTGCCTTGGTCATATAACCACGACTTCTTTTGAAGCCACAACTATTTCTACCGTCCTTCCTATGCTATGCTTCGTTATTTGTCTGTGCTTTTGCTTGTTGTGACCAGTCTTCTGGATACTTCTATTTTGCTGCTGTCGACGGACTGTATGTCATGCTTGAGCTACACCGGCGTTGGTTGCGTACGAATATCGTGGCCGTTGCTGCTGCTGCTGCTGTCACTCTTCTTGTTTCAAGTGCTGCTTTGTGTAGCACGTATTGCCAGAGGAAAGGCCATGACTGCAGTATCAATATGGGTGGTTGCCAAAATTATGGTCCCTTTTTGGGTCCTTATTATAATACGGCACCTATTATTTTAGGGTACCCCAAAAGGGACCATAATTTTGACAACTGCCCATATCTCTGAACAAGATACTCTCACCGCAACCTTCCCAGTCGAAAGGTTGCGGCGGGGGTCTTGATTCAGCCTGGATGCTGTGCGAGTTAGTGCAGTTCAGGGTGTAGGGTTTAGGGTTTAGGGTTTAGGACCTTAAGAACCCCAAACCCACTTTTTGTCGGTTCTTATTAAAAACCCTAATATGGGATCTATAGGGACCCTACAAACAAGTAGGTTTTGGGTTCTTAAGGAACAGGGTCTTGAAGTTTACGATTAAGCGGTCGGCGTTTTGTAGTTCAAAAGCACTACCCTACAACATCATCACAAACCCAGATCGGCCGATGTTTACCGCCATCATGAATACGACTGTGGGCTGCGTGAACTACAAGAACGTCAGGAAAGTACACCCAGAGCTTCACTGCATAGTTGCAAAAGTCGAACCCCAACAACTTGGGGCTTAGATTTCACGAGCGTCAACCCACATGCTCTTCTGCACAGTAAGTAGGGCTATACCTACCCTGAACGGCGTCATCTGTTCTTGCAAGTGTGGTAACCACTGCCGCACATGCCCTTTACGCAAGTTCCAAACTGCTTCAGGGACAGAATGGCTCTAATATAGGGGCCTGAACAATTACAATAGGGTTTGGGGCCCTTTATACTGTAATTATAATAAGGAACTCCCCAAATACTATTGATCATCGTTTAGGCTCCTATGTTAGGTTTTGGCCATCAGGGACCCTATGAGTCAAGTGATATCCCTGCTTCATAGTGAGACCGTGCAGCCCTAAGCCTTTAGGATTTAGGGTTTAGGGGTTTAGGGTTTAGGGTCTAAACTCACTCCTTCACATTCCGGGCCTTGGAAAGAAGTGGTTGACCACCTCAGCGAAGAGAACCTGAGTTCGAGGTCTGGGGGTTCCCTTAAAGGTACTATAGGGTTCTATCATGGGATCCCGTCTAAAGGTACTATAGGGTTCTATCATAGGGTTCCCTTTAAAGGTACTACAGGGTTCTATCATGGGGTCCCCTCTAAAGGTACTATAGGGTTCTATCATGGCGTGCCCTTTCAAGGTACTATAGGGTTCCATCATGGGGTCCCGTTAAAGGTCTGGGGCTTGAGATGTGAACAGCTACGAGGCTTCTTCTTAAGGAGGGTTCCAGAGAGAATCGTGGTTGATGTGAATCGTGGTTCTGGTTGCACTTTTGTTTATGATATCCCGTTCTGTCCAGAACAATCGCAGAACAAAGCACCTGAAACCAAGATCGCATCCGACTGACATGGACTTTCAAGTTGGGGCGCTACGACCACCACCATGACATTACGGCTTTTCTTACGTAGTCTTTCTCCTACTCCTTGCAGAAGCCGCTAATGCTAAGATCCGAAACCCACTCCTGCTCCCTGCACCCGAAACAAGACACCCAGGCCCAAGCCCAAAAAGGTCTCCCTAAGCCTCCAAAATCCGTTCATGAAGGACTATCGCTTGAAGTCTATAAGACCCAGAGACTCACTATCCCTTAATTAAGGAATATACCTTAAATTATAGTAGGATCGGTGATATGATTTAAGGTATATTATTCCTTAAATTAAGGGATATTGGAGTCTCTGATGAGTCTATAACTATCTTGACGAGGGAACCCAAACGAACATGAATTTGAGCCGAAGGCCCCTCCCCAAAATGCCCGAGCCCTAAAGACCCCCTAAACCAAAAAACAAACTAAACCCTAAACAATATGGGGAGTTCTCCAAATTAGGGTCCCTTTTAGGGTCCTTTTTATCAGACTATATTGGGACTTAAACAGGGACCCCAATGTGGAGACCTACTCATATACTTAGTCCAAGCCTAGAGTTTTTCGGCGTTCCTCCAATTTTTATTTAGTAAGATATGTGACAAAGAGATATATCAGAATACGTAAGTGTTCGAAAACGCAGGCCCGCATTTCGACGCGTTCTGTAGACTGATGCCGAAAGCCCCCTCAGTCAGCAGCCCCATCGGCGAAGTCTCGGGAGATATTCCGCTTCGGCCGCGAGAGGGGGATCTCGTCGACCTTTTCTGTTACAGGTTTTAGGGGCCCTTTGGGGGCTTAGGAGTTTAGGGTTTTGGGGTTTAAATAGGCGTTGGATTTGAAAGGTTTGGATCTAGTTCGGGGTGGTGGTGGGGGTGGCGTGAGGCTCATGAGAAGATGTGTGGTATGGGCGCGGGAATGCAAGGGTTGGGGTCCTAGGGATGCGGGGTTTGATGTGTTCAAGGATTCATGAGGACGTCCTTCAAAAATCGTGTCATCAAGTTCCTGCGGCTTACGGTCTACACAGGTGCACCCGGGAAAATGAAAAGTTCTGAAAACCACCGACCCTAAAACGCAACACCCAAACCTTGAACACGACAGACTGAACTCTGCACCCCGAAACCTTGAACTCACCTAAAACCCCTTACTAAACCAAAAATCTGAGATACCTGCCAAGAGGCTACGTACTTTGGAACAGCCCAAAGGCCCCATACATCTTCAAACCCTAAACCAAACACCCTTCAAAACAAAAAACTACAGAAGCCTTTAATGGGACTCCTGGTTTGGCCCTAAACCCTACCCATAGGCCCCATAGTAGTTCCTTTTGGGATTCCCCAACAAGGATTCCAAATATGAACCCCAACAAGGACCTACTATGGGGCTTATGGGTATCATATTTAGAATCCTATTAAATTAGGGAAGGAACTTCTATGGGGCCTATGGGTGAACCCAAAAAAAGCAAAAACACGCCCTGGCCGGAAGCCCCGGCCCAACTTCACAGGGCCCGGGCCCAGTTGTAGAGGCCCTGAAGGTCCTTCGTCAAGCGGCTGTAAGGCTTTAGGGGCGTTTAATACAGGGGCCGAAATAATTACCAATACTATTTTAGGGGCTGCTGATCATAATTATAGTATAATATATTTGAAAACCCTAGTCTAATTACTAAGCATGAGGCTTTGGGGGCTTGGGCTTCGGGTTTCGGGGCTGTGGGTATTCGGGGTTTGGGTGGCAGGCGAGTTAGGTCCTCGGTTTCGATTCAAGGGTTAGGCTTCAGAGTCTAGGGTTTCTGAGGGTGGGGCGCAGAAGGCGAAGCAGGTACCCGGTTGGTCATGTCAAAATGCATGGAAAACTGGTTTTCATTCATTGGGAATAAGAATCACTAGTAATAGTGATTTAAAAGTGCTGTTTAGGTCAAGTTGCAAGGTACAGTGCGCATTTCGGGGTGCCCGCTTTTGAAGGACCTAGGAGACCCAGCAAGGATCCTGGCTGTGACTGTCCTTCTGTCAGGACAGCAGAATTTTTCTAAAAGCCCCCATGGCGTTTAGTGGCGTCTCGGGATTCAAGCAATCAGCTACCAGTGGTGGAATCTGTGCACCGTGCGGGGAGCAGGCAAAGGAACTGGGGAGCTAGAACCAGATTTCCGAGTTGCTGGCGCAGTGTTCAGTTTTCGAATAAACCAATTTCCGTTTCAAGCCCAATCCCCAGCCCAGCCCAGCCCAGCCCACAGCCCGCAGCCCACAGCCCGCAGCCCACAGCCCACAGCCCACAGCCCACAGCCCACAGCCCACCCCACAGCCCACAGCCCACAGCCCACAGCCCACAGCCCACAGCCCACAGCCCACAGCCCACAGCCCACAGCCCAGAGCCCAGAGCCCAGCCCAGCCCAGCCCAGCCAGCCCAGCTCCCAGCCCCCAGCCCCAGCCCCATGAAGAAAGCCCCAGCGCCCCAGCCCCAGCCCCAGCCCCAGCCCCAGCCCCAGCCCCAAGCCCCAGCCC